TCATACTTTAAAGGCAAGCTAAGTACAACATTAGTAACTCCAGATGGATTTGTATGGCACATCCCTCCAGAGCAGTGGCATTCCTAGGATTGGTGTCATCTGGTGCAGCAACTCATGGTGCCACCCTCCCCATTGACCTCCTCCCATTTCACACCATACAGAATCCTTAGTAATGCTTTTTTGCACAAATGTTATTTATAAATCGGAATTCCCATATACCTCTGAATGTAATGCTAATAGTTGTGATATAAACAACCAGGAATACTAAAATTATACCTTCAAATTACAATACCATATGCACAACTTAAATGTATTTACATATACATAGTGAAAATTTGGTTAAAATGTTATGTTTTTAAAGAAAAAATTAAAAGAATTTTTAAAAATTCAAAATTCAATTTTTAGAGAAATTTGGAAATTTCAAAAATTTTGAAATTTAAATTTTTAATTTAAAATGAGGGGGCTACTTTCTCCTCCCATTGAGCTTCACCCCACTCCCACTTAAAGCATTTTAAAAGGAAGCAGATGGATGCTACAGATCATTTCTGCCAAGAGATAGGTGTCTGAGGAGCAGTGGTGTCACCCTCTTTTAAGGGTGTCATCTGGTGCAGTCCGCACCCCCCAGTGATGCCACTGCTCTGGAGCCATAAGCTGTGTTCCCCTTGCAGTAAAGTGTGGTATCTGAGCAAGTACACAGCCTCAGCAGGCACTGAGTTAGGCTTCTTCCCCCCTCCACCCATGCTGTCTCACCAGTTTTCAAAGGAGCACAGTGACTGGCAGGACCTACTACATTAAATAACACTTCACCTGCCATTCCCTGCAGTTTTACTATATGGTCAAAGACATATAACATGTAATCTGCAGTATGTGCAGGAAACAATCACAGACCTGCATACATGCTTCAGGCATACAAGTCTGCAATCCTGGATCTGGAGCAAATCACTGGCCAGGTATTTCAGCTCAGAACATCACAACCTCTCTGATTTGCCCCTGTTTGTTACTGAGATGCCATCTCCTTCAGAGGTTTTGGACAAAAAGGGAGAATTTCTAGATTCATAAGAGTCTAGCACCATATGGCCTTATCATAGATGATAATACCATCATTCACTGAAGAATGTTGAAAATAGGATGTTCTAAACCTCTATTGTCAAACCTATGGCATGTGTGCCAGAGGTGGCACGCGAAGCCATTTTCCCTGGCATGCAGAGCCGGGAAGAGGAGGAAAATGCAAATGCCTGTTCCTCCTCCTCCCAGCCTTCCCGGGCCTTCAGCTGCCCAGGAAGGTGCAGGGGGGAAGAAATCTCACCCCAGAATGGAAGTCCCCCATAGGATGGAAGTCCTGCCCTAGAAGTCCCGTTCCCCCTCCCCAGAAGTCCCATTTCCAGCAAGGGGTAACACCTGGTGCCAGAAGGCCATTTAATTTGCCTAAGGTTCGCCATCACTGTTCTAAACTGTCAATTTGCCTTTATCTTTAGCAACTGAAGAAGGCAGAAGCTGAAACATTTTGCACATTTTACATTTTGTTTAGTTCTGTTTTCTTTTATGTTTTTTACTTCCGTTTGATAATCACTTTAGCTAATATATATTTATATACACATACAATCACCCTCCTAATCCATAGATTCTTTATCCACTGATTCAACCATCTACAGCATGAAAATATTCCAAAAAATATAAATTCCACAAAGCAAACCTTGATCTTACCATTTTATATAAGGGACACCATTTTACTATGCCATCATATTTAATGGGACTTGAGCATCCATGGATTTTGGTGTCTACAGGGTGCCCTGGAGCCAAACTTCAGTGGATACCAAGGGATCACTGTACAAAATAAGAAGACTAAGAATGAGAAGTGCAGCTGTGATCCTAAAGAGTACATACAACTGAGCATTAGACTTAGAATTGTCCAAGACATTGTATTCCCCATCACCCTGTATAATTGTGAGAGCTGGACAGCAAAGAAAGCCAGTAGGAAGAAAATCAATTCAGCTGAGAAGTGGAATTGGACAAGAGTGCTGAGGATAGTGTGGGTGGCCAAAAAGACAAACAAAGGGTCCTTTATCAGATCAAGGCTGGAAGCCAAGATGATCAAACTGAGGCTGTTGTATTTTGGCCACATCATGAGAAGGCATGATTCATGGGAAAAGACAATAATGCTAGGAAAGTAGAAGGTAGTAGAAAGAGAGGAAGATGCACGCTAGTCTCAGACTGGCTAGACTCAGTCAGGGAGGTCACAGGCCTGAATCTTCAAGATCTTAGCAGAGCAGTGAAGAACAAGGGGGTCTTTGGAGATGTCTCATCCACAAGGTCACCATGTGGGGATCAATTCAAAGGCAATTAACAACAACAACAAATTGCATATAAATAGTGCTGAGTGTTGGACTACAACCCTGCAGACCTCAGTTCAATTTCCTACTCAGCCATGGAAACTCACTAGGTGATTTTGAGTAAAGTCAGACACTCTAGGCCCAGAAAACCCCATAATAGGTTCAGCTGAGGGTCACTATAAATTGGAAACGACTTGAAGGTGCACAGCAACGACATATATATTAATGATTAACTGCATCCTTCTGGGATCCAGAACAAACTTGGAAGAAGCGATACTGGTTTGCTTTTAAATCACACACTTGTAAAACTCACCTAAGTAACCAGCTAAGATTTCTTTAACTGAGCAAGGACCCTTCTAATAATCTGCAGACCTTCTTTGAGGGAGGTGTTCTGTTCCACACCTTCAGGCTCCTTATAGAGACAAAGGATCTAATAGGAAGTACTAGAATGAATGCTCCTATTGTGCTTCACTTATTCCAGAGGGGTCTGGGCAGAGTAACTTTGCTTTGCAATGCTCCCTACTTGCTGAATGACATGAGCATTTGTACATAACTAAGGGGGGTTGCAGACTGCCAGAAATAGTGCAAATTGAGTCCACTTTTGGGGTTAGGGTTAGTGCTAGGGAATCATGGGAATTGTTTTTTTTTTTCTGAGACATTGAGCCTTCTCTGTCAGAGAGGTCTGGTGCCACAATAAAATACAGTTCCCATGATTCCCTAACCCTAACCCTAAAAGTGGACTCAATTTGCACTATTTCTGGCAGTCTGCAACTAACTTCGTAATACTGGCTGCTGAAGGTGGAGGCAATGCATGAGAGCCTCCTGGAGAAAATGCCAACTCAGCAAGGAGAGAACTGGATAGTGAGCATGCAAATGTACCATAATTACTAAGGATGAAGACGCCACCCACATATAAGAAACAGCAGAATTCAAAGATATAGCTGTGTAGAATCAGTATGTAGAAAGATCTTGTAGCACCTTTGAGACTCAGTGAAAGAAAGAAGTTGGCAGCAGGAGCTTTCGTAGACTAAACTCTGCTTCCTCAGATGCATTTGGGAAGTAGACTCAAGTCTAAAGCTTGTGCTGCCCAACTTCTTTCTTTCAATGAGTCTCATAGGTGCTACAAGATCTCTCTACATACTGATTCTTCAGATTAACAGGTCTATATATCTTTGAATTCTGCTCATGGAACGATAAATTTAAAGAACCACTCATAGAAATATAAACCCATGCTTCTTAGCCATGCTGCCAATGGAGGGCATTTTGGAACTCCTCCTGGACAGAAGGTGGAAAGGTAGGACATGTCCTGGAAAAGGAGGACCTGTGCTCAGCCTGGACTTGCCCAAGGTCACCCAGTGGGTTTCATGGCTGAGCAGGCATTGTGCGCGTACGTGCTTTCAAGTTGCCTGGAGATTGACGCCAACTCCATGCATAGGCCAGGTAGATCCAGGCTGCGTCCGCACTGCAGAAACAATCCAGTTGGACACCACTTTAAATGCTATGGGATTCAGGGCTGACGATGGTGGTGGTGGTGTTTAGTTTCTCATGGCACTGGAGCATTCCTTTGGTCATGCCCTCCATTTTTCTGGAATGGGCCCAACATTTTGCAGTGCCTCTTCCTCCTTT